TATTAAGGGTGGAAGAGAGCGCTGGTTATTCACTCCCCCCACCTACAATCCCTGCCAGACCTGAGACTTGAACTCGCAACGGGTTACAAGTCCGACTCTCTAACCATTAGGCCCCCGTTATTATCTCTTCCGATCAGTCTCCACTGTGGTGCTGCTGACGCAGGAGTCGGCGTTCTGACGTACAACCCGGATGTGCAGTGCCTTGTTAAAAAGCAGAGGAATGCACACGCTTGCATCATGGTACTCTCGTGAATGGCGGTGGAGACTGACATGGAAGAGAAGACAAAAATAATTCTCATAGCTTCATAAAATTATGGTTGAACCACTGATGTCACATGGACTATTTTAATGATGTGCTGTCTATGCAGGTTCAGACAGCTCTCGGATTTAATCAAAAATATCTTAATTTGTGTTCCGAAGATGAGCAAAGATCTTATGGGTTTGGAACGACATGAGGGTGAGTAATTAATGACAGAATTTTCATTTTTGGGTGAACTATCCCTTTAAGTGTATTAGAATTTCTCGTTCTCATCTGTTTGATATACAGACCATTTTGTCTCATTTTAAATGTTTTAAAAAACGTCATGCCTTTAACTCACAGCCTCTGTCACTTTGCCCATTTTCCCACTGACAGGGTGCAAAATAACAGCTAATAATAATGGATAATTTTGTACAGGAGAAGCTGAAAGAATGGAACTTGCATGTCCTGATACCAAGCTTTAAAGGTAAACTTTATTTAGGTAAAATTAAAATGCACTTCTTCATATGTTCATTATAACCCATTGTGCTCTGGGTAAGCCAGTTTTCTTACATTCTTCTCCTCTTGTCTCTTTTCTTCTCCTTTTTTCTCTTTACAGATGAACAAATTGATAAAGAAACCCTACTGCTGCTTGATAAAAAATTACTTGAAGCAATGATAGATAGGCCTACTTCTGAGATTTAAAATGCACCTGAGAGAGCTGCTTGTGAGTAAAGAAATGCACATTTAAGATGGGATATATCTGCAAAAAGACTGTTGGGGCCAATGTTCATTTTTTGTTTTCTTACCAAAGGAGAATGCATAATATAGTTCTTCAAGTTATTTTGAGTGTGGCCAAGCCGGGTGTCACAGGACATTTAATTACAGCAGATCATTTAAGCGACATCTGCTCCAGCATCATGTAGAGACTGAGGCAGTAGAATTCTCATAGCTTCATAAAATTATGGTTGAACCACTGATGTCACATGGACTATTTTAATGATGTGCTGTCTATGCAGGTTCAGACAGCTCTCGGATTTAATCAAAAATATCTTAATTTGTGTTCCGAAGATGAGCAAAGGTCTTATGGGTTTGGAACGACATGAGGGTGAGTAATTAATGACAGAATTTTCATTTTTGGGTGAACTATCCCTTTAAGTGTATTAGAATGTCTCATTCTCCTCTGTTTGATATACAGACCATTTTGTCTCATTTTAAATGTTTTAAAAAACGTCATACCTTTAACTCACAGCCTCTGTCACTTTGCCCATTTTCCCACTGACAGGGTGCAAAATAACAGCTAATAATAATGGATAATTTTGTACAGGAGAAGCTGAAAGAATGGAACTTGGATGTCCTGATACCAAGCTTTAAAGGTAAACTTTATTTAGGTAAAATGAAAATGCACCTCTCTATATGTTCATTATAACCTATTGTGCTCTGGGTAATCCAGTTTTCTTACATTCTTCTCTTCTTGCCTTTTTTCTTCTCTTTCTCTGTACAGATGAACAAATTGATGAAGAAACCCTCCTGCTGCTTGATGAAAAATCACTTGAAGCAATGATACCAAAGATAGGCCTACGACTGAAATTTAAAAAGCACCTGAGAGAGCTGCTTGTTGTGAGTGAAGAAATGCACATTTAAGATGGGATATATCTGCTTTAAGTGCAAAAAGACTTGGCCAATGTTCGTTTTTTGTTTTCTCATCTAAGGAGAATGCATAATGTATATAGTTCATCAAGTTATTTTGAGTGTGGCCAAGCCGGGTGTCACAGGACATTTAATTACAGCAGATCATTTAAGCGACATCTGCTCCAGCATCATGTAGAGACTGAGGCAGTAGAATCCAGCCAGTCAACACACTTGCATGACACATTGACATTTGTGGTCTGACTGCAGACCTTTGTCTTCTCACAGTCAGCCTTTCGAAGAGAAAGATAATGCTACTGATGACATGGAATGGGATGAGTTAGAGCAGAACACTATCACAGACAGAGTGGCCTTGATTCTATCAAAGTTGATGGCAAAAACATCTATGACTTTGAAGTTCAGCAAACATCTAGTCTGGTCTTTGATATTGTTATTGTGCTTTACAAAGACTGACAATGTCTTCCTTACAACGAATTGGCCAAAGTGAGACTCCTGAAGGCCAACAGCTGAATCAGCAATTTGCAAATGCAGCTAAACCTTTGCAATCGCATTGCTTGGATACTGAACACAAGCAGATGAAATAACTTTGTTCAAGCTGGGTATCTAGTTCAGCCAGTGGAGCAACCTCTCCCTGGTGTCTCATACACCCAAGGGATTCACAGACATGGACTGTAAAACAGGTGGCAGTGCAGGATACTTTCCAAAGGTTTCCTTTATGTCCATTACTGAAACTCATTCTTGAGACTCCAGGGACAATGGAGAAGATAATGGAGTGGAAAGGGGAGCTTAATGACTCAAAAAGTGGCTAATCCACTAGGCTCCAAGAACTCAATCCATAAATTGGAATTAATCTATTTCACTCTTAAATGTCTTCCTCCAGAGTCCCTTTCAAGTCTTGATTCTCACTTTATAAGGCAGATGATGCCAAAACGTATGGTATATAGATGCTGTCCTGAAGTCAGTTGTTGATGATATCAGTGACTTGGAAACAAATGGTGTGGAAGTAGACCCGGCTCACTTCAAAGGCACAATGGGTTGCCCAAATTTGTGGGGATAATTTGGGGCTAAAATTAATCCTTGGCTAAACAGAGAGCTTCTCTGGGAACAGTGTTTGTTGCTGGTGCCATGTGACGAAACAGTTAATGCGAACACAAACAAAGGAAGATCCATCACTGTTTACCAATAAGGATGGCCATCTTTCAGATTTGGTGCAAAGTAATCCAACAGAAACTGACCTAAAAAGACAGAGCATTTTGGACAACCTGAAGTACTTCCATGTGACAGAAAATGTAGCCCCAGATGTCATGCATGTTATCCTTGAAAGAGTAGGTGCATATGAAATTAAATTGGTATTAGGCTCTCTCATCTCACAGAAGTTAATAACCTTAGACCAGGTTAATTACCGAATCACAAGTTACGATTATGGCTTCTGTCACTGTGCCAACAAGCCATCCACAATCCGATCTCAAGAACTAAAAATACCTGACAGTTCGAGGAAGCAGACAGCAGCACAAATGTGGTGCCTGTTAAGGCTACTTCATTTGATGATAGGAGATCTTATTCCAGAAGGAAACAAATACTGGGAGCTCTTGCTGCTTTTGTTGACCTATATGGAATATATTTTTTCTCCAGCCTTAACAGAAGATGCAGTATTATTTCTCAGACATCTCATTGATGAGCACCACAGCCTTTTCCTAGAACTCTTCCCTTATAGACATCTAAAGCCAAAACATCATTTCATGATGCATTATCCAGGTGCCATAAGGAGACTGGGCCCTCTGGTGCACAACTGGTCCATGCGCTTCGAGGCCAAGCATGGTTTTTAAAAAAAGGCTTGCCCACGTCACATGCAACTTCAGAAACCTTTGCAAAACAATGGCATTCAGGCATCAAATGTTGCTGTGTTACAGTCTTTTGTCTGAACACATATTTCATCACAAAGAACTTGGTCCTGGTTGCACTACTCCACTTGCTTCCACTGAGGGATTTGATTAAGTCTGCCACAGATTTGAGCATACTCCATCATTGACTGAAGTGTCACCTGCGGGCGACAGATCATTTTCCTATTCAGTGCCCAAATTCTGGAACAACCTAATCTATGATGTCTGCTTCATCAAACTGTCAGGTATTTTTGTAGTTCTTGAGGTTGGATTGTGGATGGCTTGTTGGCACAGTCACAGAAGCCATAATCGTAACTTGTGATTCAGTAATTAATCTGGTCTAAGGCTATTACCTTCTGTGAAAGAGCCTAATACAAATTGAATCCTCTACTATTTAACTCTGTACTGTCAACTTTGTAGTTCAGCAAACATCTAGTCTGGTCTTTGATATTGTTAGTGCTTTACAAAGACAGACAATGTCAACAAAGGGACTCACAGACAGGGACTGTAAAACAGGTGGCAGTGCAGGATACTTTCCAAAGGATTCCTTTAGATCCACTACTGAAACTCATTCTTGAGAGTCCAGGGACAATGGAGAAGAGTCTGGATGACACCGTCTGGATGACACCGTGTTTAAAACAAGTTCTGTTTTCCCCACTGAGCCCTCTGTTCCTCTTCTGTTGTATAATGATGACTGTGAAATGGTTAATCTCTTAAAATCTCTAATCTCTTAAATGAGTGCCTTTCATGTCTTGATTCTCACTTTCTTAAGGCAGATGATGCCAAAACGTATGGTATAACAGTCTTTTGTCTGAACACATATTTCATCACAAAGAACTTGGTCCTGGTTGCACTACTCCACTTGCTTCCACTGAGGGATTTGATTAAGTCTGCCACAGATTTGAGCATACTCCATCATTGACTGAAGTGTCACCTGCGGGCGACAGATCATTTTCCTATTCAGTGCCCAAACTCTGGAACAACCTACCTAGCGCTGTTCGGGAGGCAGACACACTCTGTCAGTTTAAATCTAGATTAAAGACTTGTCTCTTTAACCTGGCATACACATAATACACTATCACTTTTCTATCATTCAAATCCATTAAAGGATTGTTAGGCTGCATTAATTTAGTCAACCGGAACCGGGAACACTTCCCATAACACCCGATGCACTTGCTTATAAGAAGAATGGCATCTACGCTAATATTAGTCTCTTTCATTCTTATTCCGAGGTCACCGTAGCCATACAGATCCAGTCAGATGGTCACTGTAGCCACTCAGATCCAGACCATATCCAGAGCAGATGGAGGATCAGCACCTAGAGGCGACCTCTACAGTCCTGAATGTCAGCAGAGGCCATGTCAACTAGAAGAGCCCCAGAGATCCCCTGCGAAGACCTCATCACCTTGACGACTATCGGCACAAGACCAGGAGAACCAGATGAGTCCTCTGCTCAATCTGACTTATGTTGCAGCCTGGAATTAAACCACACCATGCTGGTTTCATCAGGCCAGAGGAGAACTGGTCCCCCGACTGAGCCTGGTTTCTCCCAAGGTTTTTTCCCCATTTCTGTCACCGCTGGAGTTTTGGTTCCTTGCCACTGTTGTCTTTGGCTTGCTTAGTTGGGGACGCTTGACTGATTGCACAGACACTATTGGAAGAGAGCTGAACTGGATGATGACATCACTGAATCATCAATGAACTGACTTTAGCTGGAAAAATTACTCTTTTTTTAGTGTCTTCTTGCATTATTGACAAACTATTTTCCTGTTTGACACTGTAAAGCTGCTTTGACACAATCAGTATTGTATAAAGCACTATATAAATAAAGGTGACTTGACTTGGGTGAATTGGAAAGAAACAGAATATCATCCAGGAATGACCCTCCTTGTGTCACATTCTCCAGATGGTGAACCTCAGTTTGGAACAATTCAGAAGATTGAGGTTTTTGATTCTGTCATCACGTTCATTGTTAGGAAATGGGACATAGTAAGATTTGAAAGACACTATTTTGCATGCTGTGTCATTCCCACACTGTCATTGACTCCATTGATGATTACCATCCTCTCCATGTAGTCAAACAAGGAAGGGGACAGCAACCACTATGTGTCCATGCGCTTCCGGTTGTTTTAAATGTCCCCTTTTTCAAAAAGTTTTATTTTAAATTTTAGAATTAAATTTTAGAATAAATGTCAGTATGAAAAATCCATGTCATATTGTAGCTTTATATTTGTTACAAGAAATGAAACCATGCCCATGTAGGTTACCCTTTTTTCCATGCATTTTTTTTTTTTTCATCCAGAGGAGACCCAAAGTGGATCAACTTCCGGACCTCCTGTGGACCAAGTGCCCCATGCTATCCTAAGTGCCAACATTTGTATGCGTTATCGCATTTCTGTACTTCACAGTAATTAACATAAAAACAAGCACATTCGGGTCATGTCATAAATTAATCACCTTGTTGTTCCAATCCCCTAAGACTTTCATTCATCCTCTGAACACAACTGAAGATATTTTTAATGAAATCCAAGAGGTTTCTGCCCCTCCATTGACAGCCTATGGCAACTGTTCACAAGGCATTTAGCTTAACAGTTAGCTTGCTAAAAAAGATTTAGACAAAGATAGATGCCAGTAAGTTTAGTATCATACCATGCTTAAATATGAAAATAATTAATAAAACTCATCACCGTACCAGTGTACAACAGAAGAAGAAACTGTCTTCAACTTGCCTTCTGTAAATAGGCTATATTAATCTGTCTGAAAGTTGTATTTTAATAAGCGCACTCCCCCTACTGGCGGTAATGGCAGTAATGTCTGCACTGCCTGAACACATTCATTATCGTGAGAACCACATCAATACTTATTTCCATTCATCTCTAAAGAACAATGAACATTTGTCCTAGTTAGGGCGGAATTTCCTCTTACCGTGTATGGAGTGACATTCGTGTGGCCCCGTGCTTTCCTAACCTTGCGTGCAATTTTCCTATTAACAATTAGTGACGACAATAAAGTGACAATTAGCCTTACAGAAATCATAATAACCATACTTTCCACCAAAAATAATACTTGTAGTACATGAATTATTTTTGGTTGAAACTCTTGTGATAAAACTTTGTAAACGTAGCCACCACTGTCAAAAATAAAACAAAAATAAATAAAAATCGACAAAAGATTCCAAAAACAATTGTTTGAATGAGATCCAATATTAATTTATGATCGTTTTGCACAATAACTCTATGGTTAGTATTTTTTCCCAGTGGGAATAGTTTGAAAGTAACTAAATAAACAATATGCAAAAGTCTCAAGACAATGGATAATCAATTTACCAGCATGTTAATTATTTTAGGTTAGCTTTTACACTTTACAGTCAGAGTTTCCCTTTGAATCTATCGATCATCAACTAATTTCTGACTGAAAAATAATATTTTGTTTCAAATGACTCTCTCCCCTATATCTTTGCACATTTTTGGTTAACTTTACATCTCTGGCGCTATGCTGAAAATAAATCTAATTGAACATAAGTTTAATGGTTAATGACAAAATTGGATAATAACCCTATATACTGGAAATACTGTAGTGCTGTAGATTCCAGGTAACAAAGTTTCTTTACACCTGTAAACCGGCTGATCTGGACTCCATGTTTGTTCCAGGAATTTGCTCTCAGGGCACTGCGTCCAAACCGGTTCAGTTGCTGATATACTGCCTTTAATTAATCAGCTAGAAAGAATTTGTCGTCACAGTCACAGAGAATGACTGAGTCACCTTGTAGGAAACATTGAGTAGTTCTTAAATAAAATGAGTTGAAGACAGCTGTTTACAGAGACAAAAGTGTTTTTATGTATCAAAAAATATAGTGATCATCATGCCTAACATATACAGACATGCGAAACATTTTGGTGGGCATATTTTATCATATTTACAATAGTCAGGCTCACAGTCTTATGGCCAAAAAACTGTCCATGACCCATTGTATTAAATGTAACTACCATAATATTGCTTACAATCAAATAATATTCGTACTATAAAGGTATTATGTTGCACTAAATAGTCTCTTTGGCAGCTTTAACAATCCTAAACACAATGTGTCAGCGGTATGTCTACAGCAACCAGAAAAGCTTGTTCAATAGAAACTCGGATGGCACAACACTCATTCCGCAGTAAAAGATGACAGTGTCCTTTTGTGTATCCCTTTGAAAAAGAATAAGGGTTCTTCCTCGAGTTTCACTGACCTGTGTGTCTGACAGTACGTCAAGGGTGTGGCTCAAAAACCTAAAGAAATTTGGAGAAGTCCACCGGGATATATTGTGAAGATAGCCCCCCTTTGTGTGCACCAGTAAAACCTGTTCAACCTCATTATAAATGTATAGAAACACTCCATTACAACAACATTAGTCAAATAACTTAGACCTGATTGAAAACAGAATTTTAAGTATATTAGGTGACGCTAAAATGAAGGGGAGTATCTAAGCATGCCATTGTTTGAGGCACACAAAGGTAAGGCTGCTTTAAAGTGGTTCAATAGGAGCAATCCAGCTGAACTTAACTGTGACAATTTAACAAAACAATGTAGTAATATATTTAAGATAATAGCTTTCAGTGCAGCCACAGAAGGTCAGCTCTTGTTTTATCCAAACCGTTGTATGATCTCCAGGTTCATGTAATAAACCTAAAATCCAGTCATTTTAGAAGTGTATAGCATTTGGCTTCCAAAATTTGGAAGTTGGAATGGTGGTTCCAAATTGTAAACCCATAATCCTTTGCTTCACAGGGTAAATTTGGTGTCACTTCCTCCTTCGGCAGCGGCAGCAACAAGCATAGCAGCGTCCCACCTGCTCGTCGCTTTCTCTCACAGTGTAAGCTGGAGGGGGGTTCTGGCTGCCGTTCCTGGCCTGCCCGTAAACCGGCACACTTGAGGTGTTGTTCTCCCCTGGGGTTTTGAAGCTGTTGTAGGGGTTTAAGGCAGAGTTGCGGTTATTGTAGGTGCTCTCTAAGGCCATCGGGTTCATGATGATGGTGCTGGAATCAGCCTGATCCCGCAGCTTGGCACGAGGGATTGTGACATCTCCATAGGGGTTCTCAAGAGAGATATTCATGGTCTCAGGCTGGAGAAGCAAGTCGAAGAAGAAGAATCAAGAGCCTCGGTTCCTGTTTCAGTCTGTTAAAACTGTTGAAACATAACTGGTCCTGAATATATGACTTTACTTGGATATTCCTAAGGAAAGAAAATGTATGTCATTGTGAGAACGTGTGCATAGCAAATGAGAGATTGCTAGACAAAACATCTTACAAAAACACAGTATATAAAAAGGCCCCTTCAAACTAACAACCATAACTATACTGCCACTTTAAATGCTCAAGCTCTTTAAAGTCGAGTGGATTCTGATCGGCTGTCATGTTTTTGTTGTTCATCAGCTGGAAGAAAAAAATTGCTCTGAAAACAATTCCAACATATAGTTCATCTTTGTCATTAGCGTTATCATTATGATGTGGGAGTCCCTATTATAATATAATTAGAATGATTATTAAAACCTTTTATTTATAGTAATCTTCCTGAGTGTGAAGGGGCTTTTAGTTTTGGTCCCACAATTTGCCTAAGCAGCAATCCAGGCTGTACATTAGTGGGATTCAGTGATTCTTTCTGCAGGTCTATATCAAAACACCAGTAGGTGGCGACAAGTCTTTCTGTCTTTATGAGTGAGTCATTGAATCAGTCACTCAAACGATTTGTTCAACGACATTGATTCATTCATGAACAAAACAAGCGACTAGCTGTAATTCGGAATAACATACTACTCTTAGTATTTATGTCATAAAAAGATATGGCAGAAACAGTGATGCCTTGTCCAAATACACACACTTCGCTCTGGAGCAGTATTCGAGGCTTAGTGTATCCCATCATGCATCATCTTGTGGAAATAAATCGTGAGACTTTTTGCCGAGATCTCGTGAGAGGTCACGGAAACCTTTCCAATGTATGTGAAATATTAATAATAATTAGATATTACATATAATTTGGTAGTAAAACAAAGAGTTGCATGTTTTATTGGTGCAAATGAGTAGTGGTGATAATTATTTTGTACAACATTTGCAAATGCTTTTTATCACTGGAAGCACCACAAAATTAAATTGTGTCATCTGTTATAGGGACTACTGAACAGACATTTAGAAGTTGATTTTAAAATGCAAAGTATTGAAAATAAAAATAAAGCAACCTATAAGTGTGTCCCATCAGGTAATGAAAAGTTCTACACACACTTGTGGTCTTCATGCTCACTTGAACACTTGGACCAAATACAGGAAATACGTCATAGAAGTAGTCAAGTGGTCAAGTGCAAAAACCGCAA